TGTTATTCTGCCAATACCATGCCATTTTGATATTGTTGCTTTGTAGTATAATTTGAAGTCAGGCAGAGTGATGCCCCTAGCCTCATTCCTTTTCTCAGGATGACTTTGGCAATTTGGGGTCTTTTGTGCTTCCATACAAACATGATGATTTTTTGTTCTATTTCTTTAAAAAATGCTGATGGGATTTTGATGGGGATTGCATTAAATCTGTATAATGCTTTAGGTAGTAAGGTCATTTTAACTATGTTGATTCTTCCAACCCAAGAACACGGAATATCTTTCCATTTCTTTGTATCTTCTTCAATTTCTTTTAATAGAGTCTTATAGTTTTCATTATATAAGTCCTTCACATGTTTCGTTAGATTTATTCCTAGGTATTTTATTCTTTTTGTTGCAATTGCAAAAGAAATTATTTTTCCACTTCTTTTTTTGATGCTTCATTTTTAGAGTATAGGAACACTGTGGAATTTTGAACATTGATTTTGTATCCAGAAAATTTACTGTATTTGCTTATTGTTTCTAGTAGTGTTCTTGTGGAGTCTTTAGGGTTTTCTATATGGAGAATTATGTCATCCACAAATAGTGACAGTTTGACTTCTTTGTTTTCTATTTGGATGCCTTCTATTTCTTTCTCTTGCCTGATCGCACTAGCTAGGACCTCCAGTGTTATACTGAGTAACAGTGGCGATAGTGGACAGCCTTGCCTTGTTCCTGATCTTAGAGGGAAAGTTTTTAGTTTTTCACCATTAGGTATAATGTTGGTAGAGGAAATGAATGCTGTATCTTGTCAAAGGCTTTTTCTGCATCTATCCATATAATCATATAATTCTTATTTTTTAAATTGTTTATATGGTGTATTACATTAATTGACTTGTGTATGTTGAACCATCCCTATGCCTCTGGGATGAAACCCATTTCATTTTAGTGTATAATCTTTTTAATATTTTCCTGTTTTTGGTTCGCTAGTATCGCATTTAGGATTTTTGCATCTCCATGGGAGATATCGGTCTGTAGTTTCCTTTTTTTGTGGTATCTTTACCAGATTTTGGTATCAGGGTAATATTGGCCTAATAAAATGAGTTGAGAAATATTGTCTCCTCTTTGATTTTTTGGAAGAGTTTGAGGAGAATAGGTATTAAATCTTCTTTGAATGTTTGGTAGAATTCAATGGTGAAGCCATCTGGTCCAGAGTTTTACTTTTTTGGTAGTTTTTAATGATTGTTTCAAATTCCATACTGCTGATCAGTCATTTAGATTTTCCAGTTCTTCTTGATTCAGTCTAGGAAGGTTGTATCTTTCTAAGTACTGGTCCATTTCTTCTAGGTTATTTAATTTGGTGTTATATACTTTTTTATAATATTCTTGTATGATCCTTTATATTTCTGTGATATCAGTTATGAATTCTCCTCTTTCATCCCTGATTTTGTTAATTTGTTTCCTTTTTATTTTTCTTTAGTGAGTCTAGCCAGGAGTTTGCCCATTTTATTAACCTTCTTAAAGAACCAGCTCTTTGTTGCATTTACTTTTTTATTTTTTTGTTTATAATTTCATTTAATTCTGCTCTAAGTTTGATTATTTCCTTCCTTCTGCTGACTTTAGGGTTCATTTGTTCTTCCTTTTCTAGTTTTTTAAGATGAGGTGTTAAGTTGTTTCTTTGGGCACATTCTTGTTTTTGGAGATAGGCCTGTAATGATATGAACTTTCCTCTTATGACCGCTTTAGCCATGTCCCAAAAGTTTTGATATGTTGTGCTATCATTATTGTTCGTTTCTATGTATCTCTTGATCTCTCTTTTTGTTTCTTCTCCGACCCACTTGTTAAACAACAAGCTACTGAAGAATAAGGTATTTGTTCTCTCTTTCTTTTTACAGTTGATCTCCTGCTTCAAATCATTTTGATTAGAGAATATGGTTGGTATGATTTCACCCCTCCATTATATTTGTTGAGGCTATCTCAGTGTCCCAGTATGTGGTCAATCCTTGAGAATGTTTCATGTGCACTAGAGAAGAATGTAAAAGCAGCTGTTTTGGAATGAAAGGCTCTGTAAATGTCAATTATGTCCAGTTGATCTAATGTGTCATTTAAGGATGTTATTTCCTCATAGATTTTCTGTTTGGATGATCTGTCCATATCTGACAGTAGGGTATTTAGGTCCCCTACTACAATAGTGTTTTGGTCTGTTTCTCCCTTTAGTTCTCTTAATAACTGCTTCATATATTTTCGGGCTTCTTTATTGGGAGCTTAGATATTAATAAGTGTTCTGCCTTCTTGGCACATTTTCCCCTTTATCATAATTAAGTGTCACACACTATCTTTCTTTACCTTTTTTATTGTGAAGTCTATTTCATCCAATATTAGTACCGTTACTCCTGCTTTTCTCTGAATGCCATTTGCTTGAAATATCATTTTTCACCCTTCACTTTGAGTCTATAGTTGTCTTTGGAAATGAGATATGTCTCCTGGAGGCAGCGTATGGTTAGGTTTTGTTTTCTGATCCAGTCTACAACTCTGTGCCTTTTTATTGGTGAGATCCTTTACATTTAGGGTGTCTATTGAAATACGAAGTCTTCTTATAGCCATTTTATCTCTTACTTTGTGGTAGCTCAATGTTTCCATTGCTTCCTTGTCCTTATGTGTCTATTTTTTTTCATTTTCATCATGTTTTGTGGATTTTCCCTCTGGTCCTTCTTGTTTTATGTTATATACTTCAGTTCTGAATCTTTGGCGTGTGGTTATCATAACAAATACGTAGAAGATAGTGATATATATATTTTTTTTCTTCTGTGTGTGCCTTATCTCCATTCCTCTTTGTGATTTTGGATCCCCTTCTCTGTCATTGTTGCCTCAGTTTGTCCCTATGTATGCTGAACATTCATTTCCATCTTGCTATAGCAAATCATTTTTTATTGTTTAATCTTATAATGCCCTGTGCTTAGTGATAGTTACACTACTCTGCATCTATCTGCCTGCTAGTCCCCTTACTCATATTTATATATTTTTCTTTTTGTAATTTTGTTTTAGGCCATCTCAGTCCTTTCAGTATTTCCTGTAATGCAGGCCTTGTAGCAGAGAATTCCCTCAATTTTTGTATGTCTGGAAAGGTCTTTATTTCTCCTTCATATCTAAAAGAGAGCTTTGTTATATATATTATTCTTGGCTGGTAGTTCCTTTCACATAATAATTTGATTTTTTGTTTCTACTCCTTTCTGGCTTGTAAGGTTTGTGCTGAGAAGTCCAACGATAATCTAATGGGTTTTCTTTTCCCTGGCTGCCCTGTGAATTCTTTCTTTGTCATTGATTTTTGATAATTTTAATACAGGGTTTCTTGGAGAAGGCCTTTTTGGGTTGAGATAATTGGATGTTCTTTTGACTTCTTGAATTCCAAGCTCTAGCTCATTCCTTAGATTTGGGAAATTTTCATCAACTATTTGTCTGAAAATGCTTTCTAATCCCTGCTCCTTTTCCTCCCCTTTGAGAATGCCCATTATTCTTATTTTTTCTTTCCTGATAGTATCAGCTAGTTTTTAAATTTCTCTTTCATTATTTTTCATTCTTCAGTTTCTCTCTTCTTTCTTCTGATTTATTTCTAGACTTCTGTCTTCGATATTAGTGATCCTTTCCTCTATTTGAACGATTCTATTTCCCAAGCTTGCTATTTCATTTTTTATATCTTTCAGTATATTTTTCATCTCCAGAAGTTCTATTTAATTTTTTTTGAAGATTTCAGTTTCCTTGCTAAAGAATTCATTTTGCTGACCTAGTTGTTTTTTCAATTCCTGAAATTGTTGATATGAATTTATTTGGATCTCGTTGAGTGTTTTTCAGAAGTACCATCCTGAATTCTCTGTCATTTAATTTGCAAGTTTCTATGTCTTTAAGCTTATTTTCTAGAGATTTGTCTTATTCTTTCTGAGCTGCCTTGTCACCTTGTTTTTTATGGTGTTTAATGGGCTATTTCTCTGCTTGGTCATTAATGGAATTGTATTCTACTTTTTTTTTCCAGAAAGAAGATTTATTATATAAAGCTCTGTCTTTAGCCTATTCAAAGTATATGTTTTTCTTTTGGTTTCCAGTAGGTGTTGCCTTTGCTTCTTGGATCCTTGCTTTAAATAAAGGCTTAACAATGCCTTTTTTTTTTTCTTACAGATATTCAGTCACACTCGATATCCTCTATCTCTGTCGCTTTCAGTGTTAGTGACAGCTTCGGTAGCATTTGCTGAGATTCCCTGGGGCTCCATTATGTTTGATCTCAGAAGATATGGGGAGGGGCCCTCTAGGTTGGAGGACGGGGCTGTAGCTCAGCCTCAAGTTTTGCAACCACAGCTGCTAATAATCTGCTTAGCTTCTCTGCCATCCCTACTTCTTTGCCATCTCCACTTCTCTGCTTTTTGCCCTGATCATTGGTCACTGCCTCTGGGTGCTACTCCCAGCACTCCCAGGCAGGGCTGTTCAGGGAACCTGCTGCACCTTCTCCCTTTCCCCTCCTCCTGCAGGGAGCTCTGGGTGCTGCTAGAGGAACCTTCTTTGTTTCTTCCATTCTACCTCCCTACTCCTAGAGTTCTGACCTGTGGTAGCTCTTAAGCGCAAATCCCACACTCAGACACACTGGTGTGTAGGTTAGGTGTTTTTTTTTTGCTTTTTGTTTTTTGTTTTTGTTTTTTTAAATTTTAGATATTCAGCTTATTGTTGTTTCAAGGCGAGAGATCTGGATGTCTCTCACTCTGCCATGTTTCTCTAATGTTTTTCTATTATTATTCCTCAAAACAGAAACCACAGGGACACATATTAACTCCTAGCCAATGAAGACAGTTTCTGTTGTATGGCTCTGGCTTTAATCTCAGCATTTTTTTTCTCTTCTTGTCTCTCTTGCACTCCTCTAAAGAATTCAAGAAGACTTTTTTCTTTTTAATTCTATTTCAGTAAAAGAATGTTTTGAGGTTTATCTATGATTTCTGAATGATCATTTGTATTAATTTCCCACTGTACCTGTTTGTCCCCAGGTCTCACAGGGCATATATGTGCTGGAAGTTCCTATGGAAGAAGTGACTCCTCTGGATATTGCAAAGGAGTCCTTAGGTACCCAGCTCCAGTCTGTTGAAGACAGAATGGAATGTGAATCTCCAGAGCCACACCCACTTCAAGATAATGGTGAGGATAATTTAGCCTCTGGAAAGAGTATGAGGCTCGGGAGAGTAAGGGGTTTAGCTATCGAAAAGTTATCAAATCCCATTCCACTGCATCTTCTACTGAATTTAACTGAAGGAAATGTCAACCAATATAGTGTAATGTTATTAAAGGAGTTGAATTAAACAGTCAGGCAATGTAAAAAAAAATTGAACACAAGATTTTTTTATGGATATTTTGCAGTGGAATTAAGTACCTGTGGATAAATCAAAATTACCTCTGTATACAAATGTTGAGCACTTATCAATGTAGCCGTAGGTCCCATTTCTATTGCATTTGCCACAATTTTTGTCATGTATGAGTTCTAAGAACTAGTAATAGTGTAGTGGAGGCAGGAGCACAGGCTAGCCTGGTTCTGGAGCAGCTATCTTTTCCAAAAGACTTAAGTATATTCAATACAATTTTTTTCTTCTCTTATAGCCCTAGCAACTCTCTATTACCTGTTTGTCCTATACCTACTAGTACTGATTCTACTACCTTCTGGAGCTTATATTCTCCTGGTTCTCATTTCATTGCTCTATATTCCTTTCTTCCTCCAAATTCGTAGTTATTTACCTTCCTTTTCTGTTCATGGTTCCATAGCATGGCACAAAGTGTATCAGCATCGAAGGAAATACTATCCATATAATGATCTTTTCATTCACATATGAGGTGGCACTTATCATTGTATTGTTATCTTCATTTTAAAGTTAGTCAGCAAATTTTTATCCAACACTTTTCTTTGTAATAATGTGTTAGATAATGGAAAAGATACTAGAGAAATAGTGATCCTTGCTTCTTTAGCAACTGACAATCTTGTTAGTTTTACATATGAAACAGTTAAAGAAGAAAATGTTACATTGCTACTTTGTGTTATGAATAAATTGTTTTTCAAGAACTCAAGGTGAGCTTAAAATAAATGATCAGGGAAGTCTTATTAGAACAGTAGAGAGTTAAGTGAGGCCAAAACAAACAGTAACATATCATTAATTTGAACATAGTTTTGGAAATTATGAACATTTGAGTAGGATTTAAATTTACCAGTTCAATATTTGATATGAAAATTGGTGGTTTCAACAATGTTGACTTGAGAGAATGTACTTTTTCCAAACAATTGTAAGACCGTCTAGAGGTGTCTATGGCCATTCTGTCCCAAACAAGCCCGATTATGTCTGATCTCGGAAGCTAAGCAGGGTTGGGCTTGGCTCGTACTTGGATGGGAGACCACCTAGGAAGACCAAGTGCTGTAAGTGTAAGCTGACAAGGTCCTTGCAATCTATGAGGTCAACTAAGGGTTGCCTCGCTTGGGAAAAAAAAAAATAAAAAAGCCCACAAAGAGGCCAATTAAAAAAACAGGCAACAAAACCAAATAGAACACATCATAAAATGATCTCCCCAATTGCACCCTCCCTCCCCTGACCCTCCACCTACCCAACGTATTAATGCTAACTGCATTCCCTATGCCATGCTTCCCATCCCTTTGACCATCCATTAGCTACTAATTTGTACTTCTTTAGCCCTTCACCCCATTCTCCCAGCCCCCTAAATCCCCCTGCCCTTTGTCCAACACCAAATTGTCCTCTATATTTGTGCGTCTGTTTTTGATTAGTTTGTTCTTTGTATTCCTTAGATTCTGCGTATAAGTGAAATCGTAAAGTGTTTATCTTTCTCTGTCTGACTTAAATACCTTCTAGGTCCATCAGAGCAATATCTTTTTCCATCCCCTTCCTTTTCATATGTAGGGGTCTTGTTTTCTTATCCTTTCAGCCACTCTGTCTTTTGGTTGGCACACTTAATTCTTTTCCATTTAAGGTACTTATCGATTGTAGTTGTTACTATTCTTTATTCCCGTTTTTGATACATGTTTTTTTCTTCTTAAAGAAGTCTCTCTAACATTTCCTGTAATACTGGCTTGGTGGTAATAAATTCCTTTAGCTAATTTTTGTCTGGGAAGCTCTTTATCTCTTCTTCAGCTCTGCTGGATAAATTATTCTTGTTTGTAGATCCTAGGTCTTCGTCCTGTCAAATATTTTTTGCCAAGCCCTTCTTTCCTGCATCGTTTCTTTTGAGAAATCAGCTACCAGTCTTACAGGTGTTCCCTTATAAGTAACTATCTGTTTTTCTTTTGCTGCTTTTAATATTCTTTCTTTGTATTTAAACTTTGGCATTTTAATTATGATGTGTCTTGGTGTGGGCCTCTATAGATCCCTGATTTTTGGAATTCTCTGAGCTTCCTGGAGCTTTATGTCCATTTCCTTCACCAGGTTAGGGAAATTTTCCATCATTATTTTTTCAAACAGCTGTTCAACATCTTGATTTTCTTCAGTTACGCTGATCAGAAGGATATTTGGACCCTTAATAGTGTCCCATATGCTCTTTAAGTTATAATATAGTCTTGGCATCTTATCTCTTGCCATTCTGATTCTGTGTCCTTAGCTTTCCTGTCCTCTGGGTGGGGCATTTGGTCCTTTTCTTTATTCTCTTTTTTTTATTCCTTTGTTTATTCCATTTAATATACTTCTCATCTCAGATCATGTGTTCTTCATTTCAGACTGGTTCCCTTTTATAATTTCCATTTCCATTTTTATGTTTTTTATCTCTTTGTTGAAGTTCTCACTGAATTTATCTACACTTCCCCTAAGTTCATTGAGCATCTTTATAACCAGTGTTTTGAACTCTGTATCTGTTAGATTACTTGACTTCATTAATATCTGGATCTCTGTTCTCTTCTCTCATATGGTTTCTGCTTCTTTGTCTTCCCATTTGGCTGCTATTCTGTGTCTGTTTCTATGTACTAAGAAAAGCTCTTAAGTCTCCAGGTTTTATTAGTGAAGTAGGTGTCCAGTGGCACAGTCCTGAGAGGGGTTCAGCTGCAGGCCAAATTTAGCCCAAGCCCCTACCCCTCTGGGGCCACCTGTTAAGATTCAGCATGCAATCCGTAGATGCTGTGCTTATAGTTGCCTCAAAAGGCCACACCAGAAACCGAGACCAGCTACCTCCAGTGTGAGTCTAGGTGTTGCTCAGCAAAGAGCACCTGACTCACTGAGGATATACTGGATGTGGCTTGGATGGGGCTGTGAGTTGGGGAAAGTGGAGTATAAGGGAATCCTCTGGGTGAAGTGACTTCTGTTATCCATTTCGATGACATCTTGGCTATGGCAGTGCTGTGTTCAAACCCTGATAAGGGGCGAGGGCTCAACAGGGAACAATGGATACCGCCGGCACTTCTGTACAGAGAGACTCTCGTCTTGGTCCTCACTCCGACAATGTCTCCTTGTAAGTCCCTGCTGCCCGTTGCGCACAGCCAAATCGGCACTGGTGCTCAGAGTGAGTTAGTCTGTCACCACGAAAATCTACTTGAGGACGCGGCCCCTTTAAGAGGCTTCTGCTGCCGCCGCAGCCTCCATCTCACTCAGCTGCTCAAGACCAGGCAGCCCCACGTCCTCACCCCATCCTATCTTCTGCTATTGCTGGGCGATTTCTTGGATTTCTCCCTAGTTGTATGGCTTGTTCCTCTAGATCCCAGGAATTTTTCCTTGCTGCTGCTCCTTGTTTCCATCACAACTTTGATTTGGTTGCCAGAGGGATGAACAGAGCCTCTATCATCTACACCATTTTTTCCCCTCTCTTTTTGATTTTTTAAAAATAGTTTCCTTAAGTCTAGCCAAGTTTGAATTTTTCTAAATGTTTCTGTTATTATAAATATTCTAAATGTCTATTTTAATATGCTCTATTGTCAGAAATTTTTCATTACTTCAGACTCATCTACAACTCTTTCTTTATTAAAATTAGTAATAAGGATATTTGAATTGGAGTCATAGTTTCACAAACCCCGAAAGGCAGCTGATGTAAACATATAATGTTGAAACTTAACCCCAGATGTTGCTGTAACAGCTAACCTGATTGAATAAAACAAAATATGGTATAGTCTGGGGCTTTTAAAAAATTAATTACTATATTGCTGAGGCTTTTCTAGCCAAAAATAAAAAATTTTTTTTCTTGTGTAGTTAATAAAAAAATAACATCAATTTGCTTTCCTGTTTTACGTAAAACAGGGCTTTACCTTGAGGCTAACCTCAGGTATTACTTTGGAAAGTCATATTCTGGCTTTCTACTCTTTGCTGTATTAGAACTTTTTGTTCTTGTCTAGAATTCTTCATTTACCCTCTCTTTATTCTTCTAAAACTAGACTCTTTAGCCAAAATTGTATCCTCCTGCTTTATGTGTCCATAGCTTCTACTTCTACCCTAAGCTCTAGTGTATTAAATATAAAATACATATATTTGGTTAATATATGTATTTTAAATTATATTTCCAAATATTCTAATTGATTTTTATCTTTATATTTTAGAGTCATTTTTGTGGTTTCTATGATGTTGCAATGGATGGATGATGATGATCTCAGTAGCTTAGATATTAATGAAGCAGAAATTGAACTAGAAAACATGAGAGAAAAATTTTTCAGAAGTCTAGCAGTGTTATTGGAAAACAATAGTAATAACTACCAAGATATTTTCTAAAGCAAAGTACTGTCAATTAATAAGGGAAGTGAAAGAGGCTAAAGTTAAGGCATAAAAGGAATCAGTTGATTACCATTGCTTGGCTAGATTTGATGTGATCCTTGTAATAGGAAGTGGAAGCTGATTGAGGCTATTAGTGGGGAAGCAGATAAAATATGGTATTATTTACACGGTGAGAACTTATTTGACATTCTACATGATACACATCTTAGCATTGGACATGGTGGACATACCCACATGGAAAAAGAGTTACAAGCAAAATACAAGAACATCACAAAAGAAGTTATAATGCTGTACTTGACACTCTGCAAACCATGCCGACAGAAAAATTCAAAACTCAAGAAAGTTCTAATATCAAAAACAATTAAGGAAGTTAACTCAAGATGCCAAGTAGATCTTATAAACATGCAATTGAATCCTGATGGAGAGTTTAAATTTATAATGCATTATCAAGACCTTCATATGAAGTTGAGTTTTTTGCGGTCATTAAAATCTGAAAGGCTTCGGGAAGTTGCACATGCTCTATTAGATATTTTTACAATTATTGGAGTACCCAGTGTCCTGCAATCTGATAATGGGAGGGAGTTTTCAAGATGGATTGTCAATGAACTCAGTGACATTTGGCCAGAATTGAAAATTGTCCATGGGAAGCCTCAGCCTTGCTAAAGCCAAAGTTCTATAAATCAAACTAATAAGGTATCCAAAGTAGGATTATCTCCTGTATACAAACTAACAATTCATCACACTATGCTGATTTTTGTGGTTCATTCAGATGACCCAAAATCAACCCTACCACAGAGGCATGCAACAGACTCCATGTGAAGGTACATTTTAGTTCTGAAACTAAACGACCTGTGTCATTCTCAGTTAACTAAAGAACTTGTTGCTAGCCTGACCACAGAAAATGAATTAGAGCAGGCCAACAGAGAATTTGGAAACAATTTAAGAACCCACTATGAAGTAAACTTTGAGACTGGAACAGATAGTAGTGATATTGAAGAGAATCTTTTTATTACTCCTAAGGTGGTCCAAAAAAACCCCCCTAAAAACAGACTAAAATTTTTTCCTGTGTAGTTTGTGAAAAAGAATGTACGGGTGCTAATATTTGTATATCATGTAACAGAAATGTCCACGCAATCTGTGGAGTGCCCTCTCAACCTAAGACCAAGGATTACCATCACAGAATAACTTGTAGTCTTTGCTGTGAGACCACTACAATAAAAAGGAAACATGATGAAATTCAGAGTTTGACTGTTCAACCTTCTAAAATGCTAAAGCCATCAGAGACACCATTTTCATCAGACAAAGTAGGAGATTGGGTAAGAGTCTATCTTCTATAGATCAAAGCAGGGGGAAAATCTTGTTTACTGTGATCATGATGAATGAAATTTTTTTGCTGTGTTCTACTAAAGCACAGTTATAGCCATTTTGTAAATTTTTTCTCCAAAGAAAGGCCAATTATTATTTTTTTTTTAAGAGGTAAAGTGATAGGATTTATTGAAGCGCAGAGTTGCAGCTTTCTTGCGAGAGGGGATACCTGAAAGTGGGATGCCCCTGAATAGAAAAAAAAGCTCCTTCTTTTAAAAGTTTATATGCTAGCTACTCTTTCTGGTCTGACAAGATGGGAGGTGGGGGGGCGGTCTGACAGGTGTGCCTCTTTCTGATTGGTTGGTTTAAAGGTTTCTAGGAGCTTTTTTCTGATTGGTTGGCACATCTCCACCCCGCAGTCCAGGGTGCACTCCAGGGTGTACTGTGGGCTCCTTGACTGGATGTGCCCTCGAACTACGTGTTCCTACCATGGACTGCCCTGTTCTGCCTAACATTTACTAACTTTTCTATTCCCCCTCTGAACATGTAACCCTAACCGCCATTAGGGTGAAGGGACCTCTCTGGCTGCTTCATGCCGAGGAAGGACGTTGAAAGGAACGGCAGTTAGGGGTGGTCCAGAGGTCTATCTAAGGGTCCACGGCAGAAGGATATGTTCATTCGAGGTTCCATGTCAAGGACCATTTGCAGCTTGATGGCCTCTAGGTGAGAAGAAAACAAACTTTGTTAAAAGATTTAATAGACAGGGTCCGAACACTAGGGCTATCGGTTCAGTATTGTTTCTGCACAGGGAAGAAACCAGGATACCCAGTTCCAAATTTTAGACCAAGACCCCCATGATTTGCTTAATTTTTTGCAGATACTTGAGACCCTATCAGTGAGCTTTTTGAAGGCCAATTACTTTTAATGCCCCTCCCCCCCAACCTTTTTCATGTTGGAAGTTGTAACCTTGAATGCTGTCTTATTTATTGTCCTGGGGTGCTGCATACCATCTTTTTTTTATTACTTTCTGATGTTGGGCGTTTCTTGGGAGGATGAGAAAGCTACCATTCAGGGGATAAATGTTTATGCTGAAGGATGAATTTGTGTACAGATGAATTTAATGCTACTTTGTTTTAATTGTATGTGAGTTTGGGGGCAACTTGATCAATGCAGAGATATTGCTAACATGATAATTCTTTTAGTATATGTGATGTTTGAGCATGAAGATGATATAAAGGAAGATTCCTTTTTTCAGCCTCTTTACCAACAAACACAACTAGTTCAGAACTGTATAAAGCTAAGAAAGGACATCTCAGATCAAGTAAAGAAATATTTTGGAAGAGCAGGGGATGATAAATTTGTTTGGGAGATATGGGTTTGTGTTGGAAAAGAGTTTAGTTTCCAGATTTAAATAGATAGTGTAAGATAAGGCCAACGAGATTTTAAATCAGTAGGTTCTATAAAGTAGAGTTATTGTGTATTCAGGTTAGAATTTTGAAATATAGAGGTTACAAATGATTTGGTATAGTGGCATTCAGAGTACCACCAGTGCTGGTCTGAAAACTATAAGTCTATAATGAGTATTTAGAAAGTATTTAGAAACTGATAACAATTTGACATTGCTCTGACACCCAAGCACATGGTTAATGAATCTATCTTTTTGCATAGAATACAGACCACTTTGGGTGTTGTTAAACTCTCAAGGTGAGTCACATGTGGTGGTAATTGCACACTAGTCAAGCACAATAGGTTCATGTTATAATGTGTGATATTTTAGTTTGTCACCTGTAACTCAAAAGTATATAAACTCAGATAAAATTTTATAACTTAATTTTAAAATCATTTTTTCAATCAAGTCTAGTTTGTAATTTGTAGTTTAACATTAATTAGATAAAGTAGGAAAGAAGAATTTGTATTATTTCTTTTTAATCCTAATTTGCAGATGGCTAAACAAGCTTCACTGGACTTTTTTATCAAAAAAAAAAAAAAGATACACCTTTTCTGACTATAGCAGTAGTAATAAAAGAAATTATAACAATGGAAGTCATTCTGAAGAAGTGAAAACAAAAAGAATTCATACTAGTTTTACTCAGAAGTATGATCCCTCATATATCGAATTTGGTTTTGCAGCCATAATTGGTGGTGAAGTGTTAAAACCACAGTGTATTATTTGTGGAGATGTACTATCTAATAAAGCAATGAAACCATCAAAACTTAAGCGTCATTTATATTCAAAACATAAATAAGTTCACAACCAAAAGAATTTTTTGAAAAAAAGAGTAGTGAATTGAAAAGTCAACCAAAACAGGTGTTCAGTGTCTCTCATATAAACATTAGTGCTTTGCGAGCTCTTATAAAGTAGCACTTCCAGTTGCCAAGTCTAAAACACCATACACAATTGCTGAGACATTAGTGAAAGACTGCATCAAAGAAGTTTGCTTGGAAATGTTGGGTGAATCTGCAGCAAACAAGGTAGCTCAAGTACCGCATTCCAATGACACCATAGCTCGATGTATTCAGGAACTGGCTCATGATATGGAAGACCAACTCATAGAACAAATAAAAGTAGCAAAGTATTTTTCATTGCAACTTGATGAATGCAGAGATATTGCTAACATGATAATTCTTTTAGCATATGTGAGGTTTGGGCATGATGATATAAAAGAATTTTTTTTTCAGCCTCTTTACCAACAAACACAACTAGTTCAGAACTGTATGAAGCTGTGAAGAATTATGTTGTCAACAAATGTGATTTGGAATTTAAGTTTTGTATAGGAGTATATTCTGATGGTTCAGCTTCAATGACAGGAAAACATTCTGAAGAATGTGACCAAGATTAAGGAACTTGCGCCAGAATGTAAAATAATGTATTGCTTTATTCATCGAGAAAGTCTTGCTGTGAAAAAAAATCAGTTGAACTAAATAGTGTGCTTACTGACATTGTAAAAATTGTGAATTATGTAAAACCTAATGCATTAAATTCCAGATTATTCTCTTTATTATATGATAATATGGAAGCTGATCATAAATAACTGTTATTGCATGCTGAGATATGGTGGTTATCACAGGGAAAAGTTCTATCAAGAATGTTTGAAATACGAAATGAACTCTTAGTATTCCTACAAAGCAAGAAGCCAGTTTGGTCCCAACTTTACAAAGATGTGAATTGGACAGCCAGACTTGCTTATTTATTATTTAAATATCTTCAGTATTTTTAATCTTAATGTTTCCAATCAAGGAAAGAAAACATGTTTTTCAATGGAAGATAAGATAGAAGGACAAAAACAAAAGTTGGAAGCTTGGAGAAACAGAATTTCTACAGATTGTTATGATATGTTCCGTAATTTAACAACTACTATCAGTGAAGTAGGTGATGATCTTGATATTGCATATCTGAGAAGAGTTATCAGTGAACATCTTACAAATTGGTTAGATTGTATTTTCCATCAAAAGAAAATCTACGCATAGGAAATTCATGGATTCAAAATCCATTTCTTTCATCAAAAGATAATATAAATTTAACTATAACTCTACAGGATAAGTTGTTAAAACTTGCTACTGATGAAAGATTAAAAATGAATTTTGAAAATACAGTGTCTCTTGCTTCATTTTGGATAAAAATTAAAAATAAGTATCCTGAGCTTGTTGAGATTGCTTTAAAACCTCTTCTTCTCTTCCCGTCAACATATCTCTGTGAGACTGGGTTCTCTACTATAAATGTTATTAAAACAAAACATAGAAACAGTTTAAATATACATCATGCTCTGAGAATAGTGTTGCCATCAATCCACCCTAGATTAGACAAATTGACAAACAAGAAGCAAGCTTACTTATCATGTTAAAAACTTTAAATATCGATATATTAGGTATTCATTCAAAGCACGCATATAGGCATTATAGAAATATGAAAAGTTATGATTAAAATAGCAATTCTCTATTTAAGTGGCCTATAGGTGTACTTCCAGTTAAGAAAGTGTAGAGTTTATACATATTTTTATTTTTTATGTTATATTTGTTTAATTTTTAAAAATTGTATTTTATAAGTCTTTCTATTATTGTATTTCATTATGATATTAAGATTATAGGATGACTTCAGGATGGGGAGTGATTTCTTTGAAATAGCAGAATTAATCAGTGAAGAGAAGTGACTTCTAGGGGAAGAATTAGAATTTAAATGTAAGAGAAGGACCTGGTCAATAAAATGTTAAGCCTTTTAAGCTGATCCTGGGAGGTTAGCTTGGAAGCTGATGTTAAGTTTGTTTTGTAGGTGCATGTTTAGATGCAGTGTTTAAGTGGGTAAGTGAGGGAAAACACTAATCTTGTAAGTTGTTATATGGCTTTGAATTCATATTGATAATTCTGGTTTCATAATGGTATTTGGGCCATAATGACAAGTTTATATCAGTTAAAATTTTTTAGACTTTGCTTGAGCTGATTGCCTTTAAGATTCTCTGGGACAAAGTCAGGTATTATTGACACTTGAAGTATATTTAGTAACTTCTGTTATCGTTTGGAGATGATTCAGAAAAATGCCACTCCTATCTGCTCTCCCATCTGTGTACTCACTCAGGATTACTGAAAACAGACTATTAGCATGAGGCAGGCTCCTTAAGGTAAAACATTCCAGGATCCTTGAAGAAAATGAGTCTTTTCCTAGACAAGAAAGCAAGTTACAGTAAGTACTTGACAGTGGTTTAATTCTGCCCACCTACATCTCATGTGTCTACCTAATGTGACTGTATTTTAGAACTAAGGCATTTATGTTTTTAGAATTTTATCATTTGTTTTTATTAATAAAGTATCGTGCTTCCAATTTTTAATTTTAAAAAGCAGTGTATGTGATTTTATATTTATTTCTGTAGATACCTAAAGTGGTCTGGTAGAAAATAAGCTGAAAGGGACAAATAGTACATTTGAAAAGAGAAATAAATCTACTTATTTTCTCTCTAAGAAATATAAAGTATCAGATATCTGAGAACAGAATTAGAATCATCTGGACAAGACTTTTGGTGTGAAGCCTCAGATATCTGAATTAGATTCACGCCTATTTTTCCTGCAGATGACTCACTACCAGGAGGCTGAATTGATTTATCTTTACCTTTTTAAAATTTAGGAATATTTGCTTTTCTTCCTTCTACCTCTCTGTTTTTTTGTCTTATTGTACATTTATATTCGACAGCTTTATTGAGATATAGTTTTCATACCATAAAATCTTAACATGAATTTGATGACTAGTGATTCTGTAGATCACCTTGTTTTTCTTCTTATTTTCTGCTTGTTTTATAGTTGGTTCACATGCCTGTAGATATGTGGTATATGCATACACTGCAAATGTAATTGCATATTTCCTTGTATGCACACAACTACTATGTGTTTCCATTTATCATTTATGTATGTGCTGTTTTTAATTGTATATATTGTTATTTGTGTATAATGGGATGTTGTGTTGAACTTTCCCTATTATCCAAAGAACAACAACTAGGGATGGGTCAAGGAGACCTCATATGCTAAAGAAGTCTGACAATGACTAGAACTAGAAATATCCCCCTCCCCTTTACATGCACACGCACAGCACACAGACATACCTTGAAGAATAACTAAGGAGTGGTAGAACTGGCTTCCAATGTAGTGCTTTGTGCTAAGAAATTACTTGTAGAGACGACTTCAAGAAGAGGAGACTTGCATTCCATTTCCAGATTGGGTGTTAGTTTAGGCAGCAGACATCTGCTCTCTGACTACCTGAGCAGGAAGATTAAATGATTAGATAGATAGATAGATAGATAGATAGATAGATAGATAGATAGATAGATATAGATATCACCTTATATCATCTATGTAATCTATCTACCTACCTATTTTTCTATACATATATTTGTGGGGCAAGTCCCCCACAAATGTCCTGAAAAATTCTCACATGTACCCCATGAGAAAGCCAGAATTTTAGAGCTTAGAGGACAAGTTACCAATTTATACCTTGTGTGTGTGTGTGTGTGTACGTGTGTACATATTTTGGAGTCTTTAGATGAAACTTGGCCTCCTAGCAAGGTTTACTGCTATGAATACACCTTTAGAGGAAGCAAGATAGAAGAGGGAGTTGCAGTTGAGGACCAGGTGGCCTGCTCAACTTTATACCCATGAGTCCTCCATAGACTTGCATGGATCAGAGGACCTCTTTCCTCTCAGTTCTGGTGGTGAGAAGCTTGAGAAAGAACTGGAGTGAGGAAGAAAAGCAGAGGGGGGCTTTGTGACAAGGAGAAGAAAGTAGGAAGGTAGTACTTGAGTGGTACTTTTGGAGACTTCTGAGTTGGCTGGCTCCTTGTGATGTTTCAGAGACTGAAAAGGATTTTGTGTCAGGTGCCAAAGGGATTCCTGATAGAAAGAACCCTCTTCTCTGATTTGGCTGTGTACTTTCTGCAGTGAATCTGCTAGGAGTTTTGAAGAATGGATGGGTAAACTAGCCCAATTTGTACTCTTCCTGGATTCTCCTAAATAGTAACTTCCAGAATATCTTTTCTGGTGTTCACCAAGATAGAAAGATGTTTGTGAAAGTTCCAAACATTATACAATTAGAAATTATTATAATCAGGAAATAAAACACTGGTTCAAAGAACATACTATGTGCTTTGTATTGATACATTTGTTTTAAGTTAAATTGACAATCAATTTTTATTATTATGATTGATACAATTATGATTTTAATTAAACCTTAAACCTAAGGTTATGTTAAAAAATATAAGAAAAGAGCATGAGTCTGTTATGTATAATTCTTAAGAGTATGATTATGATTATGATGTGCTTTATTATAGTAATATTTAAATGCAAATTACTTTCTAACTGAAATCTCTGCCTCTTTAGGAAGGTAAATTTTCCAAATTTCTCTTTCCTATCTGAAAAAATTTGTCATAGTTAACTTGAGGAGCCAAAAATGAACTCAGTGATAGAAGCACAAAGGAATGCAGGGTGCTATATGTTGGGAAAAGGTGGCCAGAGGTGAGCATGAACAGGTGAACAGAAACTGATTTATAAAGATGAACCAAGTTGAGGAGGTTAGCCTTAATCCTGGAGGCATTCAAGAAGTCACTACAAGGGTGATAAGTAGAAGGCTACTTGACTTATATTTTAGCAAGATTTCTCTGGCTACAATGTAGAAAATAAATTGGAGTGCTAGAGGCAAGGAGACCAAGAAGAATTTTGTAATGAAATAGCTTAATGATAATGACTTGAATTGGGGAAATGGTTGTAGATATGAAAGAAGATGGACATAATTGAAAGGCTTGATATAAAAGTGCCAGTTTACAATTCTATTGAATATACCAATAGAGATTTCATACAAAGTAACAACTATCTAAAATTTTATAAAGAGCAAAGAGTCAGACTTGCTAAGGAACACTTAAAAAAAACAAAAGTGAGAAAACTTGCTTATTCTCACATAAAACATCAACTTTTAATAAAACAATAGTGTTTAAAACAGGGTGGTATTAAGATAACAATAGACAATAAATCTCTGGAATAGAATAGAGATCCCAGAAAGAATCCTATAGATATATGGAAACTTGAAATGACAGAAATATTCCTGCTCAGTGTAGAAAAGAAAATTGATTAAATAAGTTATTACCTATTAAAGTTGAAGACATACATGCCTTACAGTCTTACAAATCCACACTTAGTTATATGTTGAACATCTGCAGGATCCATGTATTTGAATGTTTCTAACATCAAAGTTTATAAAGGTCCAAATGGGAAACAACCCATTCGCAAATATCCATTCGCAGAATAAAATGTTTATGTTTATTCAACAACTAGAATACTAAAAATGAATCATTGCTGAAAAAATTTGGGGGAGTGACGAAATGTTCTATATCTTGATTGTGGTGGTTATATATGTATATGTGTATGTATATATGTATATATAAAAACTCATCAAATTATGTAATTAAAATGTTGCATTTTACTGTATGTAAATTATACCCCAATAAACTTGACTTTAAAGATTTGTGGCCTACAGTTACACATATTAATATGGATTACATTTAAGAATATATTGAAAGAGAAAGCCAAGTTACAGAAAAATATTCAAATATTGCGACATTTATATAAAAATTTTTTAATAAAAAGTTTTAAAAGTGTGTAAACCTAAACAGCATAAATTAGAACTACTATGTGGTAAAAATCTAAAGAGAAAAGCCACAAAATATGAACACAGAATTTGGACAGGGATTATCTGTATTCAGTTAAAGAAGGAAGGAGGGGATTGTGATTTTGATAGGGCCACTCAGGTCATATTCTGTTTCTTAACATGAGTGGTGGCTATAACAGTGGCTAAAACACTTATTGTGTTTTTAATGCCTTGTAGCTTTGTTATAAATTTTTTTTTATGAATAGTTTTCAAAGTTTAAAACATAAAATAGAATATAAATCTAACCAAAATTATGCTGAAGGTAGAATAGAGTAAAAAACAGAAAATTATGAAAAAGCTGATGTTATGAAGAAGAGACTGAGACGTTCCAACATTGGTTTATAAGAAGAAAATGGGCAACAATCTTTGAAGAGATAAAACATAAGAATATTCTAGAATTGATAAAAGGCCTGAACTCTCAAATTCAAGCAACTGACCAACTGAAAGCAAGATAAATGAAACTAAATTTATACATAGATCCATCATAATGGGGAAAAATATAGAAAAAAATGAGATAAATAACAAATAAATTGACTTATGGCAAATTTTTCAACAGCCATGACAAAAGCCAGAGTTAAAAAATATTTTTAAAGAGCAGAGAAAAAATAACAATTGACCTATATAGATCAACCCACTGATCACTGTGGTGTTCAAGAGTGACAGAGG